GGCATCTGGATGGGGGACATGGATAGGAAGGGGTTTAGAGGGATAGGGGCCGAATGCTGGGCAAACGGGGACCGGGTTAATTTAGGGTATCTGGGTTCCGCGTGTGTGGAACGAACCCGGGTGTGGGCCAGGGGCGGGCTGGAAGGGTTGGGGGGGGCGCGGCTGGTCTAGTTTGGGATATTACGGAGTGGGTCGGGCCGAAGGGTCTGTTTTCCGCGCCGCGCCACTCCCAAAAAACACAGCCGGGCGTCACGGATTGTGGGAACAAACTAGGAATCGGAGAAATTGCAAATAGTTTTCAGAGCGACTGGCCTTCCATCCCAGAGGAGGCCAGAGCAAAGGCCGACACGGCACGGGAACAGGCCCCTTGGCCCCTCCGAGCCTGCCCGCCCCACCCCCCCTCCGGCACATTTCGCCCTCCCCTGGTGAAACTGTGTCCCCCACCGACGTGATCCCTCCGTTCCCTTCCTGTTCGCGCGTTCGTCCTTTCAATGCTGCTCCTTCAGCACCTCCTCTGGCAGCGCTCGCCCACCCTTGGTGCAAGACGCATGTTGCACGCACCTCCCTTTTAAACTAACCCCCACCCCCTGCCACTGCACCTTGAACCTGTGTCCATCCACTCCCCACCCACCACCAAAAAAAAAACCTCCTGCATTCTGCTGGAAACGGACCCCAGTCTGTCCCCGGGCCCTGATGAAGGGTCCTGGCCCGAAACCTGCTCATCTGGTTCTTCTTTCATCCAATATGTGCCTCCTGGTCCGCACTCAATTCCCCACCCCGCCCCCACTCCCCTGCTCCACCAAGTCTCTCTGACCTCCCTTGGTGGCTAAAATCCTTCCCCCAGCACCACCCCAACCCCGTAATACCAGGCAATATCCTTCACTGTGCATCCCCTCCCCTCCCTCCGAAGCACCCATGTCCTTCTGCTAAGGGTGGTGACCAGAACTGGTGGCCCAGCTGGTTCGCGCCGCTGCCTCACGGCGCCAAGGACCTGGGGTTCGATCCCACCCTCGGGCGACCGTCTGTGCGGAGTTGGCACATTCTCCCCGTGTCTGTGTGGGTTTCCTCCGGGTGCTCCGGTTTCCTCCCACAGTCCAAAGATGTGAGGGTTAGCGGGGGGGTTGGCCGTGCTAAATGACCCGTAGTGCCCCAGGGATGTGCGGGTTAGGGTGGATTGGCCGTGCTAAATTACTCATAGTGCCCCAGGGGTGTGGGGGTTAGGGTGGATTGGCCGTGCTAAATTACCCATAGTGCCCCAGGGGTGTGGGGGTTAGGGTCATCAGGCGAACAGACCTTAAGCGCTTTCAATTCGATCTGTGGCTCTATTCTACACCTCCCCACCCCTGACTTGGTACGTCCTTACTGCGTGCCAAATAAACTTATTCACTGTCCTGAGGTACGTAGAGTCATACAGACCCTTCAGCCCAGCCTGTCCCCAAACTAGACTAGCCCCCCCACCTGCCTGCTCCTGGCCCCTATCCCTCCAAACCCTATCCATGTACTTACCCAAATGTCCTTTTAAACGTTGTACCTGTGCCCACATCCACCGCTTCCTCAGGAAGTTCACTCCACACACGCACCACCCTCTGTGTAAAATAATTTGCCCCCTCGTGACTTTTTTTAGTCTCTCTCCTCTCCCCTTTAAAAATATGCCCCCTGGAACACAGCGCGGCACAGGCCCTTCGGCCCACAATTATCCTACACCTCACTCCATTCACCCTATCCCTGCCCCCCATGACTTTATAAACCTCTATAAGGTCCCCCCCTCCAGTGAAAAAACTCCCAGCCTCTCCTTATAACTCAAAACACTCCATATCCGGCAATATCCTGGTAAATCTCTCCCCGAACCCTCTCCAGCTTTAATAACGTCCTTCCTGTAACGGTGGGGGGGAGTGTGATCAGAATTGGGCACAATGTTGCTCCAGAAGAGGCCTCACCAACATCCCTGTACAACCTCAACGTGACGTCCCCCGACTCCTTACACCCCACCAAAGGCTCTGAGCGATGAAGGTGAGCGTGCCGAACGCCTTCCTCACCGCCCTGTCTACCTGGGACGCTAACTTCAAAGGGTTATGTCCCTGCAAAGCCCCCCTCCCCTAGGTCCGTCTGTTCTACGACACGACGCAGGGCCCTACGTTTTAATTGTGCAAGTCCTGCCCCTTGTTTGTTTGTTTCAGCGAAATCCAACACATTTATCCAAATTAAACTCCGCCTGCCCCTCCCTCGGCCCGTTGACCCAATGGATCGAGATCCTTTTGTGATCTTCAATAAAGTTCTTCGCTGCCCACTGTCCCAGCGATCTTGGCATCATCTGCAAACTTACTAACCATGCCTCCTTTTCCCCCATCCTCCCCTCTCTGTCTCTCTCTGTTTCTCTCACTTTCTCTGTCTCTCTCTTTGTGTCTGTTTCTCTCTTTCTCCCTCTTTCTCTGCCTCTCTCTCTCTCTGTCTCTCCCTATGTCTCTGTCTCTCTCCCTCTCTCCCTTTATCTCTCTCTATGTCTCTCTCTATTTGTGTCTTTCCCCCTCTCTCTGTGTTTCTCTGTGTCTCTCCCGTTCTCTGTGTTTCTTCCTCTCTCTCTCCTTCTGTCTCCCTCTTGCTCTCTCCCTCTGTCTTTCTCTCTCTCCTGTCTCTCTCTGTCTCTATCTCTCTGTGTGTGTTTCTTTCTCTCTCTCTGTATCTCTCCCCTTCTCTCTTTCTATCTCTGCCCCCTCTCTGTCTGTCTCACTCCTGTCTCTCTCTCTCTCCTGTCTCTCTGTCTCCCTCTCCATCTCTCTCCCTCCGTTTGTGCCTCTCCACCCTTGCTCTCTCTCTCTGACTGTCTCTCTCTCACTCTCTGTGTTTCCCGATTTGTGTCTCTCCCTCTCTCTCTCCTTCTGTCTCCATCTTTCTCTCTCCCTCTGTCTCTCTCTCTCTGTCTCCCTCTCCATCTCTCCCCCTCTCTCTGTGCCTCTCCCTCTCTACCTGCCTCCATCTCTCTCTCTGTCTCTCTCTGTGCCTCTCTCCTTCTCTCTCTCTCTCAGTCTCTATCTGTGTGTGTGTCGCTTTCCATGTCTGTCTAATTCTCTCTCTGTGTCTCTCCCTCTCTCTCTCTCCGTCTCTCTTTCTCTGTCTCGACCTCTCTGTCTCTCTCTGTCTCTATGCCTCTCTCCCTCTCTCTCTGTATCTCTCCCTCTCGCTGTGCCTCTCCGCCTCTCCCTCTCTCTTTCTCTGTCTCTATCTGTGTGTGTGTGTGTGTGTGTGTGTGTGTGTGTGTCTCTCTCTCTATATCTCTCTCCATCCCTCTCTGTATATCTCCCCCTCTCTCTCTCTGTCTCTCCCTCTCTCTTTCTCTGTATCTCTCTGCGTGTGCCTCTCTCTCTGTGTCTCGCTCCCTCTCTCTCCATCTGTCTCTCTCTCTCTCTCTGCCTCCACCTCTCTCTCCCCGTCTCTCCGTGTCTCTCCCCGAGACTGCCCACCACAAGTTCCCGATCTGCCACCTTCCCCTTGACAGGAAACAGCTCTGCCGTTCGTTCAGAGGAGGGGAGTCAGTCAGTGAGCCTGAATTCACAGACATATTTTACTGTCCTAGTTGCTGGCTCCTTATTGGTGTGGATAGGCCAATACATTTCAACATGATTTTCACACGCAATCCAATGGACTTATAGAGAGATGGTGTGTAATTTGCAGAATCACTCGTATTAGCAAACCCTATACTCTCTTAACAAAGCAACGTTGAAATCTCCAGCCTTTCCTTCTCTCTCTCTCTGTCTTTCTCTCTCCCTCTCTCTCCCTGACTCTGAGCCCACGTTGTTTCGATCTGCAGCTCGGCTCCAAAGGGCTTCCTTCATTTCTGTTTTTGTTGACACGTTTTAAGGTGAGAGTTTTGGACGTGGTTCTCTCTCTCTACGCTGTCTCCTGTTGGTGGGGTTTAAATGTATGTCTGTTGCCCCCAACCCCGCTCTCCACCACCTTTCCATCTCCGTTCCTGTCTCCCTGTCACTGTTTTCCCTCTCTGTGTCTGCCCCTCCATCTGCCATCCTCCCTCCTTCGCTGCCCCTCTCCGTCCCACACTGTCGTTGTCTCTCTGTTTCTCCCCATTTCTCTCTCTCTCTGTCAGTCCCTCTCTTTCTCTGTCTCTGTCTATCTCCCTCTCCTCTCTATTTCTCTGCCTCTCTCTCACCCTCTCTGGTCATCTGTCACTCACAGTCTCTTTATCTGCCCCTGTTTTCTCTCTCTCTCTCTCTCTCTCTCTCTCTGTCTCTATCTCCTTCTGTCTCTGTCACACTCCATCCTTCTATGTGTGTGTGTGTCTCTCTCTCTGTTTTCTCTCTCTCTCTCTGTGTCTCTCACTGCCTCTCTCTCTCCAACTCTCTGTGTCTCTGTCTCTCTGTCTCCCTCCCCTTCTCTCTCTCTGCCTCTGTTTTCTTTCTCTCTCTGTCTCTCCCCCTCTGTCTCTCTATCTCTCTCTCTGTCTCTCTATCTCTCCCCTTCTGTCTCTCTCTCTGTCTTTCTCTGTCTCTCTCTCTCTCCCCCCCCACCTCTGTCTCTCTGTCTCTCCCCCTCTGTCTCTCTCTGTCTCACCCCCTCTGTCTCTCTGTCTCTCCCCCTCTGTCTCTCTCTCTGTCTCTCCCCTCTGTCTCTCTGTCTCTCTGTCTCTGTCTCTCTCTCCCCCACTGTTTACTCCCTCTCTCTCCGTCGCTCTCTCTGTCCATCACTCTGTCAAACGTTACCCTCCCCTCCGTGGCGATGAAAGGGTCTTTGAACTGGAGGTGGATTTCACTGTGTTTGGTGTAATGATGGTTTTTATCATGTCTGTGCCTGACTTGGAGGGGTGTGGGGGTGGTGTGGTGTTGTTTGGGGAGGTAGGGGAGGAAGCAGTGGGAAACAGGAAGGTCAGCACTATCAGGGGACGGGGACGACAGTCTCCCCACCCAGGGGCTGCTGACGTCTCCCTCCCATTTGCCCCTCGGGGGGGGGCAGGGGTTAAATCACAGCTACTCAATGCCCCATTCCTCCCCACCCCCCCAACTCAGCACTGAGTGGGATCTCCAAGAGATATCGGGGAGAAGGGTGGGTCAGGTCGAAGGTCCGGGGGGAGAGAGAGAGAGGGAGAGAGGGGGAGAGGGGGTGTTAATAGAGGGGGG